CCCCCCCCCCCCCCCCCCCCCCCCCCCCCCCCCCCCCCCCCCCCCCCCCCCCCCCCCCCCCCCCTCCCCTATCCCAGCACCTCGACCCCTAGGAAATCACGTTCTACCCTTTTGGCTAATTTCGAGGTGAGCGGCATTTAAAAAATGAGTACGTTTTTTCTGCATGCCACCTGCTGAAATATCTTTGCCGCACCCCATCCCCCTTAATAGTACATTTTGTTATTTGTCGGGAAGGCTTAATAGTACGCTACAAGTTATTTTGTCGGGCAAAGATCCTCAACGTCAAAACTTTATATTACGCTACAAACGTTGATTGAACGATCCGAACCTCAACACCCCAACCCTCTTCAAAATCACATTGAACCCCCCTGGAAATCACATTCTGTCCTTTTGGTTATTTTCGAGGTTAGCGGCATCTGAAAAATGAGCACTTGGTTTTGTCTCCCTGCAATCCGAGCCTCAACACCCAAACCCTCTGAATACGGAGTGAATCTTAGACTACGAATTAATTTGCCAATTGTTTTGAACATGCCCTAACCGGGTCATTAATTCCCGCGAGCAAAGGTGGATGACAGAATCTTAAACTACGAATTAATTCCCAAATGCTTTCACACACGTAGTCATTGGAAGAGGTGAGGATGCATTGTAAGTGGAATAGTAATGCCACACACTGAGTCATTGGAAGGGTTAGGAGGCGCTCCAAGTGGGACAGTAATGCCTGTCAGCAACGCTTGAGGACCCGATTTGAAACTCGGAAATATTCCGTGTATAAGGACCTTGCCCACACTGAGCCTGACAATTGTGACGCATCGTACAGTTCCCACTCTCGCAGATGTGAATCATTGCAATTCTAGTGCATCTTTATCCGTCAATATGGCAGTTAAGCGCGAAATAAAATCAAAGCGCAGGGGGAAGGCATCACACATTTTCAAAGTCTAGCATCCAACGTAACATAAAGGCAAGTGAAAAATCACGGTATAGGTGCCAAAGGTTAGTATTCGTTGTTAATGGTAATTTCCGCATTATATGAGATTGCAACTAGATTTCGTGCTCGCTCACCCATGGCATACCCATTGTTGACCTCTTCTAGAAAAAAAAAATGAGCATCGACAATCGCAAAAGTGACGACGAAGAGTGCACATTAACTGTTTTTGCCTATGTTGCGACTTGTACTCACCTCCGTACGAGTACGAATTGTACTAATTTTTTGTACGCTACTCGTACTCAAAGCCCAATACGACTTTTTTTAAATTTTCTTACTGTTGTTATTTTTTGCTTCCAATTCTCATAAGAATCTGCAGATGGTGCTCAAACAAATGTTGCTTGTTTTAGAATGTTACATCACATATATTTGTTTCGGATTTTTTGGATGATGGTTTTTTTTTTTTTTTTTTTTTTTTCCCGCTCACTGGTCGTACGGGGTCGTACAGGATCCCGTACAGATATTATCTGTACGTTTCGTATGGAAAGGCCCCGTACGTGTACGTTCGATAACGTAGGTTTTTGCAACTCTTTTCACGATACGTTAAGGCGTCGTGCACCCTTTTTAGTGATATGTTAAGGCATCGGAAATTACAAAAGGCTAAAAGCGACTACGTCGATTGATGCTTTAATGGTCCGCTAATGAATGTAAAGGTCACGCCACTGTTATTGTGAAGGTGCGACAAAGGTTCTTTCTGAATTTAGAAGCGGTAGTCGTAAGACGTGTGGAGGCGTTCTAAGCGAGTTATAAATTTCCTTGAGCAAAGGTAGATGAGGAAATTTTAAACTACGAATTAATTCGCACATACTTTCGCACAGTGAGTCGTCGGAAAAGGTGAGGAGGCGCTCTAAGCGGGATAGAAATGAATGCCAGCAAAGCTGGAGGAGCCAATTTCACTATCGGCAAGACATGACGCAAAGCAATCTTTTTCGCGATTTATCATTTTTTTCGGTTAGACAGAAGGTAATCATTTCGACAAAATTTCATTTTTTGCGAACTTGCGTAAATGATCAGTGTTCTAGTGACAACACAGAAGGTAACAATTTTGGCCAATCACCCATTTTGGCGAATGTCGCATATCGATCCTTTAACGACAAACAACGTCGAAGCACAGGGTGAAGCACATATACATTCTAGCAATACGACAATTCATGATCATGTTGGCGAACGTGCAGATATGAACAAATTTATCGTGACAGCACAAAAGGTAATCATTTCGGCAAATTTGTAGATATGAACGGTCGTATGATGGTACATTAGTGTCGAAAATTCCAAAGGCTAAAAACGACCATGTCGACTGATGCTTTGATGGTCCGATAATGGATGTTAAGGTCACGCCACAATTATTGTGACGGTGCGACAAAGGTTGCTTCTGAATTTAGAAGCGGTAATTGTGAGAGGTGAGCAGACATTCTAAGCGAGTTATAAATTCCTTTGAGCAAAGGTACGGGAGAGAATCTTAAACTACGAATTAATTCGCATATGCTTTCACACAGTGAGTTGTCGGAAAAGGTGATGAGGCGCTTTAAGTGAGATAAAAATAAATGTCAGCAAAGCCGGAGGAGCCAATTTCACTGTTGGCAAGACATGGCACAAAGGACAATCTTTCTCACGGTTTATCGATCTTTTCAATAAGACAGAAAGTAATCATTTCGACAAAATATCATTTTTTGCGAACTTGCATAAATGATCAGTTTTCTGGCAACAACACCAAAGGTAACAATTTTGACCAGTCATCCATTTTGGCGAATGTCGTATATGGATCCTTCAGCGAGAAACAACGTCGAAGCACAAGCGTCAAACACACATACATTCTAACGATAACACAATTGATGATCATTTTGGCGAACTTGCAAATATGAACAAATTTCTTGTGACAAAACAAAAGGTAATCATTTTTGCAGATTTATAAATATGAACGGTGTTATCACAAATCTATAGCTTCCAAATTGTGAATATGCTCGCATTTGTCATACGAAAATAACAGTCAGCATTTAGTGGAGACTACCACATGTACTCTGACGAGAACAAAATTGGTGATCATTTTTTGTACCACTAATATTTCTGCAGTTCATAGAATAACGTCAAGTCACTCATACATTCTGGTGATAATTGACTTCCGAATTGCAAATAAGTTCGCAATTGTCATATGGAAGCAACAATCAGCATTCAGTGGAGACAAACGCGTTCACGACAGACGAAGAATTGACCTCAACTGCAGTAGACGGGACACGCGGAAGGAGGGTGGTTGCGGGAAGGAGGGTACAACAGACGGGGTGAACCGAAAAATAGAGCAGTACACGCAGAAGAGGGGCGCCGATCCAAAATATATGACAACTGGGGGGGGGGTTCAGACCATAAAGTCGCGCATAAGAAAGAGATAAGCACGAAATAATTTGGCGACCAAGAACAAATCATTGATATCTTTCACCAACATCTTGCTAAATGAACCAGAGGATCGAGTCCTACGAGCACGAGTGTAAAGAATGTCCACAAGAGGACAAAGATTGTCCCATGAGTAACACAAGAGCATAACCTGAAAACGAATAAAGGCAGCACGACGCTGCCACGACCGTGGAGAACATAAGGAGAATAACTCAAAAACGAACAAAGGCAGTACGAGGCTGGGATATTCACATCGACATCTAAGCGTCTACTTAAAAGATATTGCATCATGAGGCTTGGATATTCACATCGACATTTAAGCGTCTACTTGACTTACGCATCCACTTTAACCCTCTAGCTGATGTTGGGCGGCAAGGAAAGAGAATAAACCGAAAACAAATGAAGGCAGCACCGTGTTGCCGGCGTTCTAAAAAATATGTTGCACAAGGCTGCGACATTTACATCCGAAAAAAAAAAAAAAAAAAAAAAAAAAAAAAAAAAAAAGGTCCTACGAGTAAAGTTGTGAGGTTCCCTGAAATGAAGAACACTTAAGAAATACTGCAGCACGAGGCTGGGATATTTACATCGACATCTAAGCGTGTACTTAATCAAAGCGTCCACTGCAATCCTCTACCTCATCAAAACAACACCACAGCTCGAGCCGACCGACTGCTAGACTAAGTGGGAATAGATTCGCACTTCTGTTTATGGTCTTGCGAATAAAAAAAACTTTGAGCATTTTCAAGATAGGGGTATTATTCTCAGCCTTGGAGCTGTGTCCCCCCTTATAAATACGGGCCGTACGTACGACCGTACGACCCGTTTCGGGGGCCTTCCCCGGGTGGGGGGTGGCATCTGAGGGGGGGGGGGGGGGGGGAATGCGGGGGGGACCCCCCAAAGTAAAAAAAAAGGAAAAAAAAAAAAGTTGTTCGGGGGTTTGGGGGGTGGGGGGGGGTCGGGAGAAAAAAAAAAGATTGATTGTAGCGGACCTCTGGTTGGCCTGTGAGACCAGCCCCTTGGCCTGTTCTCACAGTCCTGTGTTGTATTCGGGGTAGTCCTGTCCAAGCCAGTACCTCTATCGGTACCAGCCAGTCTAGTCCAGTCTCGTAAGTCAGCTGGGGTAAACCCCAGTTGTTGTCTGTTTTCCAGATCATTCTATATTCGCACATGTTGGGGTACGTGCGTTGGATTCTAGCGTGGGAGTTGCGTCGTGCCATCTTGCGCCCCCTTCTTCCTCCATCTCCATCTCTATCCCGGGCGGAGCACCACACCTGGTGGGTCCGCCACAGTGGTATCACAGCGGGAACGCTCCCCGCCCCCACTCGCCACACCGCACACCAGGGAAAAACAAGGTCAAGGCCGCCGCATACACACACGCGCCACGCGCGATAACGATATGGGGCTGTCTAACGTGATCGAGCATGCCATCCTTACGGGGGATCATCCACCCATTAGCTGTGTTCCTTATCGATACTCGCCAACCCAATGGGCGGTCGCGTTTCAAGGAATTAAGGAATTCGAAGCTAATGGATGGATCGAACCCGCTATAGGACCTTGGTCGTTTTTTGTGGTAATCGTGCCCAAGAAGGTCAGAGGGATTCGCATATGCATCGATTATCGGAAACTAAACAATATCATGATCAAAGATGTGTACCCCCTTCCCCAAATTGATGAGCTGTTGGATGCGATTGAGAGTGATCGATTTTTCAGTAAGTTTGATGTTCGACATGGGTTTCATCATCTTCTTGTTCGAGAGAAGGATCGTCCGAAAATGGCGTTTGTGTTGTTCGAAGGTACTTGGCAATGGGTTCGATGTCCAATGGGCATCTGCAATACCCCTGCAACCTTTCAGCGAGCCATGAACATAGCTTTCCATAACTTTGTGCGGAAGACACGTCTGGCGCAGAGTATCATCAACTATCGCGTGATTGTGTACATGGATGATATTCTGGTGTATTCGGGTTCCTACGAGGGGCATGTGCGGCACATTGAATGGACGCTGCATGCACTGAGAGATGCCGGTTTCAAGGTGGCGCTTGAGAAATGTCAGTTCTTTCTCACCACCATCTCCTTCCTGGGACACGTGGTGACCGACCAGGGACTCAGACCGGAACCGCAAAAGGTGGCAGCCGTGAGAGACACGCCTGTGCCCACGACTATCACGCAAGTTCGCGCCTTTCTGGGCCTGACCTCGTACAGCCGAAGGTTTATCAAGGGCTTCGCGGCTATTGCAGGTCCCCTCACGAATCTACTGAAAAAGGATCAGCCGTTGATTTGGACGCCAGGGTGTAATCAAGCATTTTCGAAACTCAAGGGAGCCCTTATTTCAGCTCCGGTCCTTATAAGACCGGATCCTGGCAGCCGGAGGCAATCTCAGCGATCTTGGCCTAGGTGGGACTCGGCGGACTCGAATGCGTGGTAGAATTCACATCTAAGTCGGTGTCTGCCTGCAAACGAGATTACACCGCCCCGACAGGAGAACGCTACGCGGCTCTGTGGGGGATCAGTCACATTCGAGCCTATTTGTATGGGCGGAAGTTCACGCTGGTCACTGATCATGAGCCATTATTAGCCCTAAAGAAATCTCAGGATTACTCGGGCATGATCGGGAGATGGGCAACGGTGCTACAAAGCATGGACTTTGACATTCGTCATCGGAAGCACGAAAGGCACGGGAATGCTGACGAGTTGACACGACTGCACCGACCCGAGAAGGTCCTTAAGAGCGAGGGGGTGATTCCGTGGAACGAGCCGAGGGACGAGAACGGACCGCGGTACGGGCAAGTGGAAATTCTGTCGAAGGTGTGAGTGACACGGATCTCTTGCTCTACCCTCTCTTCAACCCTGCTCTCTCTCTCTCCTCCCATCATGACTACCCCACCTGTTTCTGCGACCCTTTCTTCCCCTGCTGATTCCGCCCCTCTTGCCTCCTCGGCCTTCTTCGCCACCCTTCTCGACAAATTTTGCTATGTTTGCCTGTGTATTACATGGGTTTATGGGGTGGATTGTCATCCTTTTGCGACCGGAGTCGTTGAGTGGGTGAATAGTGCCACATGTGTCAATCATGCACACGGTGCCTGCGTTTGATACCGAACGAATAGTAGGGAATGGAAGTGCCCTCTGTGTAGAACGGACAAACTCCCTACCGAGGTTCGATTCGAGGCTGCCCGAACGGACGACCCTGAATATGACGGATAAAATTCTATTAGCTAAATTGGCTGGTTTACCATTGGATCATCTCACTAAGCACGTCAGACGTCGGGCTACTAAGAGATCCCGGGATTACCGATGGATCAACGGTCACCTAGAAAAACGTAAAATTGACGGATCGGGTTTGTGGTCGACGGTTCCGCATCCATTCCAGAGATATGATTGGACCCGATCTGCTCACGAAGAGCAGACCGCTCACTTCGCGATACGTGTCACGGAGGCAACTATAGATCAGAATCGATGGTTCTGGTCGAATATACGGGACGATGTCAGATACGTAGTCGCCAACTGTCAGGTCTGTGCCACCGACCGTGCCCCAATACGGGGACCAAACACGAGTCAGTATAAACACGACAGATATTGACGTGCCACCTGGGCCAAACCGTTGCGAATATTCCATCCTTTTAGTTTTAATAGATCATTTTTCCAAATATATCGAGGTCTACCCCTGCAAAACCCGTAAGGCCGCAGAAATAGCCACGTACATCGATCGGTTCTTCTATACCCATCTAGATACGGAAGAGATTCTAACCGACAACGGACCCGAATTCAAAAGCGAGGTAGAGGAATTGCTCGCGCGACGAGGGATTACACTTCGACACACGGCACCCCACGTTTCCCGATCGAATGGGTTGGCTGAAAATGCCAATCACATGATTAAGACTGCCCTTCGTAGAAATCTAGCGGCGCGTGACACGCATCCTTGGCCCGAGATCGTATACCAAATCGTCGGAATTCACCGGGCCACCGCTTACGAATCCACAGGGTTCACCCCCTTTCAACTTCGCACCAATTGCCTCCCATGTGTCGATTACCGGGGCAACTCGGAAATTGCCAAAGCCGGGGGTAGAGACACGCGTGCCGCCCTTAAGGCCAAGGCCAAAAGGTACGCCGATTTAATGGAAAGGGCACTCCCGAAGCTAGCCCGAAAGAGACAGAAAATGACTGATCTAGCCCACGGGAGGCAAGTCCGTAGCTACGAGGCCCGAAATGGAAACGCCGGTCCCCAACATCAATATAAATTAAAGGACCTGGTGCAGGTACGTAAATGTGCACGCGACCGGAAACTCACTCCCAAGTTCTCTGGCTGTTTCCACGTTGTCGAGCTCGGACCTAACGGTGCCAATATGGTGCGCATTGCGCCCGAGGCCAGCGCCAGCCATAGCTAAGTCCCCATCGTCCGCCATACCTCTTACATCCGTCCCCTCCCTCCTTTTGATCTCCCTCCGTCTCCCTCGTCTGCTGAAAATAAGGACGACGACGATCTAGCTCCCGCCTCGTTCTCCCCCTCTTGTTCCCATCCCTCATCTTCTTCCCCGTCCTCGCCATGAGTTTCATCACGAAGCAAGCGCTTGGCAATCATCTGCTGCAGCCACGTGGCTACATCTCGGAGATCCGACAAGTTCGTCATCCGCGGCTCAGTCCTGATCTTCGACGACTGGCGCAGTTCTTCTGCACCGAGGGTATGTGTGCCGCCGCTGCATTCCGATTCGCCGGAAGTCCACAGACAGTGGTATTTGCAGAGGTGGTAGCATTTCATCGGCGGGCGGCTCCAGGAACGAGCCCCGTCACCACGGTCGCTGCCTTCAGCGGCGATATCAGTGTGGTCAGCCCGCTTCGGCATACCGCGATCCTGACCTCATTGCGGGAGTGGACGCAACAGCTATCGGCTGAGTGGCATCACGGTCTTGCGCGCCCCGGGTGCACCTCGTCCCAACGTACGGGACTGACTTCGACGAGCTCCGTACCTCTACGCGCCAGCCGGCAGTGGTGCTCCCCACACTCGTCCCCTTTCAACGCCCCCAATGAACCGCGCCGCTCCTCTCGCTCCTCTCTCCACCTTTGGTCTTCCCTCTCTTTTACCCACCTTCTGGCAATCCGATCTTCATCCCCGCCTTTCCTTCTTGCTCCAGCCTCTTGCAGTCCTGCTCCTCGATCCCAGGCATTAGCGGGTGTGGAGCGAGACTTTTGTCGATCTGTCTATGTGGTTGGCCCGAGTGGAGGTGACGTTGACGAGGACCGACGAGCATCAGGCGTGTATTGAGTTCCTTGAACTGCTGATCATCCAGGCTTGGAGAACTGACGTGGAGGACGATCTTCTCTATTTTCTTTTCGGATCGGTGCGGCCAGGCCATGGCCAACTAATTGTCCAGGAACTCGTCGTCCCGCTCGCGCGACTAGTCGACGACCTCTTTCTCGATATTGTTTTGCAAAGTGACGAGAGCCCAACTGCGCACGTACTTACACGGACATTGGCGCCGTATCTTCAGTGGACTGCGTACTTGGAGGAACCGAGGAGTGAAAGCGCCCAGCCATCGCGGCAGGAGTACTTGAAGCCGTCCGGAATCATCAATCTCACCTTCTATCCCAAGCAAGATACATCCGAGGAGGAAGAAAAAGAAAAAGACGAAGAGGAGGAAGCCGGATCGGAGTGGGAGGCCTTGCCGGAAGAAGCGGCGCACACAGGCACGAAGGCGGAAGATCCCGAGGCGGCACGTAAGAGGGAAGAGATTGCCGCCGGGAAAAGTGAGCTGGAGTTCGTCAGCGAGGCGAACCTGCGCATCAACGACAACCCGACCAGGGATCCAGAGCCCCCCAAGCCCGAAGATGGCGACCCAGCAACCGCGGCTCCGAGCGCATCGCGACGGAGACAGAGCCGATCCCCCTCCCCCTCTGCCTCAGCCCGTCCCCGATTTCGTCCATGTACCGATGCGGGGGATCGGCCTTCGTCTGTGGTCATTATCCCGCCAACCCCTTGATTACCTCACCCTCTGTCAGATCTCTACACCCGTCACCTTCACTCGCAACCCCTTCCCTCCCAATACCTTCCGTCACTTTTTATCCACCTGCCTCGCCGTCACCATCCATCCTCATCCTTCCCTTCAATGCGCAAACCCCACGTTCTGTTTGCACGTCCTTTTGTTCAGTGCCGCGTGGGAGCAGAGCAACGCAGTAGACGTCTACTGCGTAATCACAGGAACCATCCCGCATGTCGCCATCACGAGCTGTTTCGCGTAGCACTCTTACGCACTTTCTCCACCCTCTACCCTCACTACCTCGCCTCCCTCCCTCACAACGGTGACCGATTTTCCCGCTTTCACCAGATCATCCGCTGCGAGGAACTTCCAATCATTGAGGAAGGGATGAACCGTTTCTTACCTCCACTTCCCCCCAACCCTCCCCGTCGACACCCCTCCATGTATAGCGTCTACGTTCCCATTCCCACGCGGCGCTGATACCCGCCATGTGTCCCGACGGCGGCCCATCCCACCCTCTTCTGGTCTATGACCATTCTGAGCGTGGCGATCGACTGGAGAAATCGCCACGTGTCCCCCAAGCAACACGAATCAGCAGTTTCGCGAAGATCACGCCATTGACAATGACGTCAACTCATGCTCTGATTTGACGGATTGCGCTGGACTGGGGGTGCAAAGCACACGGAGACCTGATGGACCATGATGGTGCCACCTGGACGATCTTCGAAGTTTGAAGGGCAGGGGGTTGCATATGACAGAATTGCAGAGGATGGGGATCCGAGACAGCATGAGCCGGCATGCAGATCTTGCCACAGACGTTGTCGTCAACTCATGCCCCGGCTCAGTTTTCTCTGCTGACATTGTGCTAATCTAAGACTCCTACTTCTTCCTGCTTCTTCGTCTCCTCCTACTTCCTTAGTTCAAGGTTTTTCATGCAATCAGGAGATCCCATAGTTTTTGAACCCCTTGCGAGTCACATGTGTGACGAACCTTTTCTCGACCCCGTGCTATCTTTCGTACCCCTTGACTCAATTCCCCCTTTTTGTATCATACCGACCCAACACAACCCCCGTCGCTTTTCTTGATTTCAGGTGCCTTGTTTAGGCCCCCATTTTTTCGGAGGTTCCATTTATTCTTGGAATTCTGCTTTTTGTAATTCGGAAAATGCATGGGAAATTACGCGCGCCTTAGCGAGCGCACTAGGAATCGGGCTCGACAGTTAGGAATTCCGGAAAAAGTGGAACCCGACGTGTCTTTTTCTTTGCATGAATGTTCTCGGTCACGACGGAGAAAACTCTAAGAATTTTGGGAGAATATGGATAGGCATACGACTTTTTTTTCCCGCGTCGACATTCGTGCGCGGATATGGTGATTTCAATTTTTGAATTGGTTTAGGGCATAGGTAAGCTGTAACTGTTTTGGTGCTTTTTTCTCTTGTTGTCGGCACCACGCATGTGAGCTTCCTCCTCCTTATTTCCCGTGTCATTTTTCCCCCACGCTCTCTTCTCTCTCTCCCTTCTCTCTCCTCTTCTTCTCCTATCGCAACTGTTTTTCCCTCTCTCTCTGCTTTTTGCGCGCCTATTTTCCCTTCTTGATCATCTAAATCTTAGACCCGTCTCGCGGTGCTTTTTGCACCTCTTTCCTTCTCGCTCTTTAGCCTTGGCCCACGAAGCCCGGTTGATCCTCCGATTACCCTCGCTCACCAATCAGATGCGTTGAGCAAGAGGATCTTCCTGTTGCGCGACGAATCTGATTGGCTGAACATTGAGTTCCGAAGGATCAACATGGCTTCCCTTGCGCACCCCTCGTTGAATCTTCTCCTCTTACACGTCGATTTTCCCTCTGTCTTTTCCCCCATCTGTCTTCTTTTTCGCAACTATAAATTCCGCAAGCGCGCCCGCAAATCTCTCTTACGTTTTCCACTCGCAAGCCAGCTTCCGGTAAGCAGTGGCTAGGTGATGCGTTTGGTGCGGGTCAAAAAGTCGTGTCGGGCTGAATGTACGCTGGCCGGTTGCATGCTTGATCGCCACGACGGACTGTGGGATCCGGGCGAGACGTGTCGAGCTTGCATCATCTGGGTGACGATCGCAGCAGCGGAAGTTAGCACGCGATGGACGGGATCGTCGGTGCAGGTATGAGGATCAGTAATTGGAGTTGGGTGGATGATTGGCCCGGGGCCATACTGGAATTTCACGGCGAATGCGCCTTCATGGTTGCGGATCATTTTTTTGGTGTGAGTTCATGGCTGCGAAGCCGAATGTTTCCTTGTTGGATTCCGGTGGCCCCCTGTCCCGACATTTCTCGTCTATCTCTCCCATCTCTCTCTCTGATTTGAAAGACGATGTGTTATGAGTTTGTCTCTCCTGTAAACCGAAGTGAACTCTTGTGATTTCCTGCGAAGGAGAACTTCTTTCGGAACTCTTTCATTAGTTTCCTGGGTAATCCCCGGATGCAAAGTAACTCAATCATCTTGTCTTGTGAACGGTGGATGCGTGTGTACAATCCCCCGATTTGTTTCTGACATGTGCACCATTGTCATTTTCACACCTTCCACAGTGGATGTATGTATAGAGATGCTTGTATTTTTGCGTTGATTAGACCCAGAGTTGGACATGATTTTGTTCGAGAATGCAAGAGTGCTTAGATCTGTCGTTCTGAATGCACTGCGCATGCCATCTGCCTTATACTGCACGACATCTGCAGACAGTCTATGGGGCAGCCTCGAAAAAACCAGGCGCCTCGGGTTTTGTCAAATCTGGTCTGCTGAAACAGAGTCGCGGGTTGATCTCTCGAAACTTGAACTCGATTATTGCATGGTTTTACGAACTCCGTAGCATGCTTCTCCTGTGGCGAAGGGAAGGAAAATATTAGTTAACTCTTTTTTTTTTTTTTTCCGATTGTGCTTTCTGATGACGTCTCGGGGTTCTTACAAACTCATTTTGATTGATTGATATGTGGACTGACGGCCGTACCTCGATCGGGCGCCAGCCTCCCGTATCTCCCTCGCCAACGCGCCCCTTCCCTTACAACGAGGAAAGAACACGTGTTTGCGAGTGGGACGTATGAGAAGCTGTCGCACGGATCGGCGGACGATATTACTTCTCTCCTGAAAATTGTTGTTCTGGATTCGTGGATGCGGGCTTTGTCATTGTCGATACGCAGTACCCGCCTTACTCAGTACTATTGCCGTTTAACGAGCTGATCGTCATTCCGTGGACGGCAGTAGCGCCCCATTGGCCTCGAACCCTGTGTACGGAGTGCCAGCGTTTCGATCGTTACGAATCAAAGGGTTCCTCTATTGGATACTACGAAGTGAAGACGAGCACAAGGAAAGAGCCACGCGGCTGAGACCCTCCACGTCGGACTCGGAACTGACCAACGAGCGACATCGGGACTTGATACGGAAACGGGACACGCAGAGTGTACGGAAGCCCTTCCGCTCTAAACGAAGATCCATAGCGCGGTGGGAAGTTAGACAATACTTTTTGGATTGAATTTGGATTTTTCTCTTTTCGCGCCGAGCCCACGCGCGCATTCTGCGATGCGCGAGAGCAACCGACTTACTTCATCAGGCCAACACGGGGGATTTCAGTTCTGTCTGTGTCCGCACAGTCAATTTTCCAAAAATCCTTGGCACACCCCATCTTGCTGTTTTTCTGGGCCTTCTTTCCGCACCCTTAGCACTCCGAACGGAAGACAGCACAGGGCGTGAGGTTGCGCGTCACACGTCGGCGGGCAACTCCCGAGGACACTTGTGAATTCCTGTTTTGCAGGCGGGTTACTCTCGACGTTTCGAGAGTGGCGATATAGAGTGCCTGCTGACAGCTCTCGATCAGGTTTCAAGAGTTTTCCCATCGAGAGCAAGTGCAGCGACGTCCCACTCTCGGAAATTCGAGAGTCTAGAGTAGTGCAGGGAGGCCTCTTTTTGGAACAGGGTCCCCTCACTCCCTACCTGCCACATGTGGAAACATGTGGGATCCGGCCAAACATCACTTTTTACTTACCCTATGTAGTGTGGGACCCGACCGTTAGGGCCTCGTTCCACACCACTTATGAATTCTTACATTGTAAGGGCGCCCTAACTGGGCCAGGGTGATTAATTTACCCTAAACTTTTTTTTCATTCCACAGCCCGTAAGGAAGACACTACACTCACCCGCCATTACATCTCAGGTGAGGAGGGCCGGGTGTCAGGACCTCTACCTGTCGGGCAATCTGTAGGGTCCCACCCTTACATTTCTAGTCACCTCCCAGGGCTCCCTAGAGATTCTTGTCCTTTTGCCTGGGCTGCCCTTATTTTGTAAGGGCGGACCCTAACAGCCGAGAATGTGAAAACAGGCTTAGGGATCGATTTTGTTGTTATTTGGGAGTGGTGGAACGATGATTTTGTAAGGATCCTTACATTTGTAGTGGTGTAGAACGAGGCCCTTAGTCTACTAAACACACACACACGAAAAAAAAAGAAAAAAAAGGAGCTGTTTTGTAGTTTGAACATGAGGCATGCATCTCGGTCATTCTGTACACCCATGGATTTTTTTCTTTTCTTTTCAAAGACAGACCTGTGCTCGAGTTCCAATGGAATCAGATGATGAGTGAAAATAACTGTGAATCTACTTGGGGTCGGGTCCCACTAGCACTGTTTGCTACACTCGTACAGTGGTGTGAGGCTGTTTTCGCATTTAAACCACCAGTACCTCGCCCAGCTATCGAGTCTGAGCCTCGGCCGACCGGTACACCGACCCGTGCCGACGCTCGGACTACCGGGCTCAGGCACCCCGAGAGTGCAGAACGTGAACAACGGAAAAGACGGAAAAAAAAACGAAAAAAAAACAAAGAAATAAGAAAAAAGATCCGAACGTGCAAAAGGTACACAGCAAAGAAAACGGGAAAAAAAAGACAAAAGAAAACAAAGAAATAGGAAAAACGACCTTCTCTTCTTGCTATGGTTTCGAAAAACGAAACGGGAATGCATCTTCCCGCTTTCGCGGGAACATGCATTCCGGACATGTTTCTTTGTGTGTGTGTGTGTGTGTGAGAGAGAGAGAGAGGGAGAGAGAGAGAGAGAGAGAGAGAGAGAGAGAGAGAGAGAGAGAG